AGCTGGCTTTTCATAGTGGGCTTTCCACCACTCTAGCAATTGGATTTGTCCCTTTTTGGAGGCACTGGATAGGGAGGCGGAAGGTATCTTCGGGATTAGGGTGTTACGGAGAGAGGGGTCTTTGTATCCGACGGCGAGGAGGACGGCTATGCGGAAGGCAAGGATCGGGTCTATGTGGAGCAGTATGGCAATCACGAGTTCTATGGGTAAGGAGAGCATAATTTAGCGGAGAGGGCTCAGTGTTTTGGGGTCTTGTAGAGTTCGGGGAAGGAGCGAGCTTGAAATGTCGGGGAGTGTACTGGGTGTGAGATGCGTGTCAAAAGGAATGGGTGGGCTTATGTGCCGTCAGAAGTGCTGGTGGAGTTCGGTAAGAAATCCTGGGGAACTCGAGGCAACTCCAAACTTGCCTGGGTGGGCTCTGGACGCTGAGGGTTTCACAAAGTCGGGTCAAACTGATCACAACCTTCACAAGCCGTCGCGGTCTTCGCGGCCAAGATGGATTTTTATATCACGGTGTTGCAGCATCCCCTTTTTGTCACGATGAAATTGGACCGTTCTTGGGCAGTCCGGGCTTCGTTATCTCTTTATCTTTGAAAAGCAGCTGCAGCTCTCCTAAGTGCGGTATCAGCGGTATCATATGTGTCGTTCCGCACGAGGCAGCATCCGTTTGTCCCTACCCACCATGAAGCGCATACAAACATCTATCCCCCTTTCTTGCACCAACACTCGAGAACCCCGCAAGGAATCCAAACCGGCGTATTATGTTCATTGTGCTGCAAAGGTCCACATTCGGTCGTTCTAAGTGATATGCGGAACCGACCACACTGTTATTCAGTCATATCAGGAGCAGTGCGAGCATACATACGGTTTACGTTCGTAGATACGATCAACCATACGGCGAGCAACAGTTACGTCAAAACTGAAGGTTGGACAGCTTCTTGTGAACTTGAAGTCACGCATTTAAGCATCATCAAGTCCATCTTGAGAAACATCGGTAGTGATTGATCGCTTCGCTGATAAAATGCTCTCACATTCATCCCCCCACTTTAACCAAACAAAATATCGACATCTCCAAATGTGATGTTTATGCGCAACGAATGTCGATCGCCCTCCAAATACGTAAAGGGCTCCCAGCTCCAGTACATCTCATCAAAAGTGATTTCGAAAATCCCTTCCAATCGAACAGTACAGCAATGGCCAATCCTCCAATCCTTGCGGTGGTGCACTTATAACTCAAAACGTAAAGCATGTCCCGGCCTAGTATGCGCTGGATGTGGGCGCTGCCATTCAGGATTAACCCCGCTCAGTGAACTATCAACCAGAATGGACTATGTCACCACTAATTCCTGAAATTTGAGACTTGCCGAATGACTCTGACATGAGCAACAAACTTCCCGTGTGGAATAGAGATCACGCATCCTGAGGAGCAGAGTCAGTCAATCGCGTCGTTTCTGAAACCGGCTGTGTGGTGGGACAGAAGAGCAGGCGTGGATGGAGATGATTCATGATGTGTATTCTGAACTCCCTATCCTGCCGCATGGTTCACGACTGTTGTTCAACCTCCGGCACGTTGAACACCTACGAATATGTAATAAAGTTTGACCCTGAGTGGAGTTCGCATGTTAGGTTCACACGCTGAATGTCCCACTCTCAGAGATATCGATGGCGCCGATGTTATGTTGTATCCATGGGAATATACATGGTTGCAAGATGTTATGCTTCGTTGCTAAATCTATGGGATCTGCTTTCTGTTGCTACAACTACTGACGGTTCCCGACTGCATGCCACCAGTAGACCACCTCAAATTGATTCGCTTGGTAGGCCAAGGCGATAACCCGATCGGAGAAGAGCAAGTTGGAATGGTGGTCGATGAACCATTGGAGAACGTCAATCCGGCCCCTCTGGCTTGCCAGATCGAGGGCATACTCTGAATACGGTGCACCTTGCAAGTTCAAAAGGTTCAACACCAGAAGGTCACCGTACGCTGCTGCCAAATCCATCGCCCGATGTGTCATCTTCAATTGTAACCCGCTCGCAAACCACCAAGACAAGACCCCCAAATGTCCCGCTGCCGCTGCCTCGTCAACCGCTTGTTCCGAGTACTTGAACGCTAGATTACTCTATTTCCACCATTTGAGAACATCGAGATGACCATTCGAGCTAGCCCAATCCATTGCCCGTTCAGAGTATTTCAGTTCAAGTCCAGAAGTCTTGAACCATTCAAGCACATGAACGTGTCCGCGACGCGAGGCATTATCCCAACTGTTTCGTGTGTATTTGAGGACTAAGCCGCTTTCTTTCCACCAGTTCAAAATCGCAACATGCCCTTCACCACAAGCAGTATGAACAGCGTCGGCGCTATATCTCATCACCATGCCGCTGGATTTCCACCAATTCAACACAGAAAGGCGGTTGCGGCGGCTGGCTTGGTCCATGGAAGCGGTCGTGTAAGGGACATGAGGATGAATGTTGTGACGGGCTCGCCACCAGTCTAGAAGCGATAGTTGGCCTTTTGCAGAGGCGCTATTGATGGAGGCAGATGGGAGCCGTGGTATGGCATCGTTACGGATGGCGTCCAGTTTGTATACTGCGCCTATCATGACTCCGACGGTGAAGTGGACCTTGGCGGGACACTGTTGTAAAATGAGAAGGAGGATTTCGGCAGGAAGCAGAAGTGGACGCGGGCGTCCCCGCCGGCGATGCGGCTCAAGGGACGTGTGAGTTGGTGGTGTGGGCGAAGGAAGTAGGGTGGGTAACAATGTATAGGAGAAGTTCGTAGAGCATTGCGAAGAGACTTGCGGTGGGACGCTTTGAGGTGAAAAATGGGCTGGAACGATGGATGATTTGGAGTCAAACTATAGACTATATTGGAGTGATCAGATTTGGCACGCCGTTTCTCAGGAGCAGCAAACGAAGATGCTGGGCGTCAAAAGACCAAAGACAGGGTATGTCAAGGTGTCCACAATTGGCGCACTGTTTCTGCGCTGTTTCTGAGGAATGTGAGGAGTGTGAGGAACAACAAAGAAAGCGTTTCAGCTTTCCAGGCCCTGATGGACTGATGGGCAACATCAAATAGCTACAATAGCTTCAATTTGCCAGTTATACCGGTAACATTGGCTACCCGTCACTTTCCCACACAATTTTTCCCCCATTCATTGTTCAACCACTTCAACGCGAAAGTTAACAAATCAGTAAAGTTTGCTTTTCTTTGTACACTCACAAGAGTTGCCAGAATGAGCGCAACAGCTATCAAACGACTCTTGGTACTACTGGGTCCAAGTATGTCTCGGTTTGATTGCTGCTTTGTTTATTATGGTATTCATCCTACCTTGTCACTGAGGATCTCACCGTTGCACAATCCCAGGCTTTAGAAACCACAAAATCCGCCCCGTAGATTTCACCAACCGACTGCATCAAAGGTTCACAACTCAACACAATGTGGAAGTAAACATTTCTCATCACATGGACGAAGGTAGCTTGGTGCAGCGGCTGTATGAAGCAACCGAGCAAAACTACTGCGCTGTCCTATTGGACCCAGGACACTTGGCCACTGTATGTCAAACTGCGTGAGTGCAGCATTCGTGTGCTGACCAAAGACCGCAACAGAGGTCACCCGTCTTATCCAATGCCTTGCACGAACTAAACATCCTTCGCGACAACTATGGACGACGTGAGGTTACTGAAACAAATCGACCCTACGCCTCTATTCCATACATTTACCAAGTCATCCCATACCATTCACCTGTGCACGCTGCCTCAGAGCTCACGTCGTTATGCAAAGCTTCCGTCATCAACTTCGGTCAAAAGACCTATGAGTTAGCTATTGAAGGGGCGCTGGATGACCTCAGTGGGACATCTAATCCTGCAACTGAAGACGAAAACACGGAGGTTACGGGTGTGCTTGCTGCCCACTCTGCTAAAGCAACTGCAAAGCCATTCAACGCTGGTCCAGGGGCATCTTCAAATATCCTTGAACGCAATGCAGAACTGTGGGGAATGACCGGGAGTGTGGGTGGAAGTGATACGGATGGAGTGAGCGCCAGAAACGCAGAACTGTGGAAGAATAGTGCGGCTCTGGGAGATGTGGAGGGCGGATGGGGCGTTTCGGCTGGGGCTGTGGGATCAATGCTGGAGAAATATTTGGCAACTGCGATGAATCATGCTGGGGAGGTGAATCCAGCCCAGAATTTTGCCGATGCATTGAGCCCTTATGAAGCACACGCAGGGATAGATCTACGGCAGCAGCTTGGGAAGAACAGAGCGGAGGAGGATCACTCATTGTTTGATGAGCAATACTTTGGGGATTTGTTGAAAGGGTCGCAAAAGGGGGGATATTGATATGGCGCCAAACATGTATTGTTTGAAAAACATGAGTGATGATAAACTTTCAAACTCTTGTTGGGTGATTGTTGTGCACCTTCGTGCTGCCACCGATAGAGTTTATGGTGACTCTGCTCAAGGTATACAATCGGTGGATTCAAAAGGATTAGCTGCAACGATCATACCATGCCACGAGCCGAGTGATCCAAGCGCGCGAAACCCCTTAGCTCAGCTGGGGGTGCGTCCTGCATGCGGACACATACTGTAACAAACCGCTTGAATAGCGGTGGGTCGGATTGGTTTTGGGAGGTGCGAAGGAGTCAAACGGTCTCGCAGCTGGGCTAAAGAAGCCATCTGCTGTCTCATCGTCCATGGGGAACTGTGGATGCGATCAATATGAAACGTGGGCTTAGCCATTACCACCAATAAAAGCGGATTGGCGTAATAACATTCCCGCCACTCAAAGAACAGCTCGGCTTTCAGCCCCGCCATACCATCCACTCTGCTACGCCCTGCCAGACGGTTGCTACATTGTACTCATGCGTTTGTGCCTGAGAGTTCATCATTTCATTCACCGGGGGTCCCCCTTCCTTTCGGCTTGCTGATACAGATCAAATTGCAGAAAAAGGAAAGTTCTAAGTTTCCCTCAGAAATAACACATACTGTAAATTTGTTCATCAGCTTCCTTAGCTCAGCTGGGAGAGCGTCAGACTGAAGTCGACTTCTGCAATCTGAAGGTCTCGTGTTCAATCCACGAAGGGAGCATTTTTCTTTTTTTTTTCATTACATTTTCCTTTTGCTAGTACGAAAAGTTGGGATGAGCGATCATTCAAAGGTAGGTAACCCGCCAATAATGAGTCATCTGCCATTTTGTTGTGCCAGACGATCATGTGGCATCTTCAGAGCGTTGGTTTCAATCTCACGGTGCGCAACTGTCGGTGTTGATGAGTTCAAGGGCATTCAGTGTGCAAGGGTCAACATCGGAATATAAGAGTCAACCATAATTGCACACATGATCAGCTCGGTCCAAACAACACCAGGTGTTTCATTATCAGCTTGGGAGTTGTGGGGGTTAAAAATGGTGATTCGCAGACCAATATGACAACAACATGCATCACAATATATTCAATATGGATGGACTTTGGGACTTCTTTGCAACCATTCTCCATGATGCTCGTTTTTGGGTGGGTTTCCCATGCGTTGCGGCAATCTTGTTTGCACGTATATCATTGAATTCGTATAGCATACCGTGTACAGAGCATACGTATGGCTTTCCATGTACAAACGGTTCGGGTAACCGGTGATGATGACCAACCGCGCAGCGTTCGGTCGAGACGCGTCCAAGGGTCCTTGCCAAACCTGCAGCACCGTCAGGGCGTGTCTTTCAATATGGGACGCACAAGTAATATTGCGACTAGATGCCGTAGTCAACTGCATTTTGCATACATTCTCAAGTGTGATATCTCAAGGTGTCGCATCTCCTCGATCAATTTACCAAGTCCAAGCCCGATAACAAAGCCCGTTCAGCCGATTCCGATCACCCTACCAGGTGCCCTTCATCCTGACTTGCCCCAGCCAAATGTCCGCTCACGTACAGACTGTCGCAAAAGACCATGGACGACTCATCTCTTAGAACGCTCAAAGTATCCCGGAAAGACACGAAAGAAGCTATCGAGCTCCAACCGCCTTTCCAAAAGAACATCAAAAGTTACACATGTTCGGTTGCCAGCGATGTTGATTGTGAGTGTTGTTCTCAACCGTTCAAAGCGGTTCGGTCCAACATATCAAGGAGTGACAACAGAATATTGACACAATGCGTGATCCACATAGCACTCATATTTACTGCCGCGCCAACGGAGGGGGATGCGTTCTGTCAAGTTCAGAAGATGGGCAGTGATGGAGGTGAGAGAAATCACTTACGCCGGCAGTGAGCAAGTTCATAGCACTCAATGCACATATGCGCCAGCTGTCCCAATCCGAGAAGGAGACACCTTGGTTGACATTAAGGTGGACGCCGTGGATGGGTCATCGTCTGTCTATACCATCCAGGTGTATCGACCATCTGGTAAGGAGCGGCGTCGTTATTTCATGCAATCTCTCCTTTCCAAATACTCATCGTAGCTCAATGTAGGAAGTGATGCAACGCTGAGAGGATTCGATCTCTCAGACGGTGTTCTACGACCAGACTTTCATAAACTTGAGACGAGATATATGTTGCTTGTTGGTATGTAAGTTATCCATACCATACTTATGCTGTACAAATTCATGATGATACACATTGAAGGCTGCCGCATCTGTAGGAGGAGCTGTCAACAAAGTTACCATAAAGGCCCTGCCTCTCAATCCAAAGTCTACCATTCAACCATCTGCTTCTGGAGACGCCATCGCGCTTAACCCTGGAGACACCACCACGTCATTTCATGTGAAGTCTGCTGATGGTTCAAAAGAGGAGACATACCACATCACGATCCGCCGAGGTATGTCACATCATCGACAGCGTTTTCAACCGCCCACATCAAACTGACAAGCACAAATCTTTGGCAGACAAACTTGGATCCTTTCCCATACCCCTGTCCAATAACATTCCACAAAACCTGATTTGCTCACTATGCAGCTCCTTAATCTTCCGTCCACGTTTCTACGTCCGTCCTTCACCATCCACCTGCACGCACACTTACTGTTCCACGTGTCTTGAACTCTACAAAGCTCAACGCACATCAGCATCCAAAGCCCCCCAGCTGAACCGCTCCTCAACGGAAAACCTCGTCGCAGATCTGAAAGCCAACGAAAGTTCAACACAGTGTCCATTATGTCCGGACAGTGGACACGGGACGCCGTCGTGGACGAATAACCCGCTTGTTGAACCAGATGGAGAGGCAGAGAGGGTGTTGGCGGCAGTGGAGGTCGGATGCCCTTTTGAGAAGACGGGATGCAATATAACAAAAATCCCATACGGTGACTTGGTCAACCACGTCACGACTTCTCATTCACCTATGGGAGGTTGCGAAGAATGCGGAGCAGCCTTCATAGACGCCAAAGAACTCACAGACGGAAAACACAAATCTTCCTGCACAACAACCTGCCCCGACTGCGGAAAGAAGGTTCCGCTCCTGGACAAAGACATCCACCCCCGTTTCTGCATCTCCAAACTCCCACCTCTCCCCACACCCACAATTGACACCACAACCTCACCAACATGGGAACAACAACTAATCGACAAAAAAACTTCTCCAACCTCCGTACCAGAATGCATTGCCGCATCCGAAAAAGCCATCACATCCTACCTCTCAACCCTCCACCCCGCCCTCCTCTCCGCCACCACCTCCTTCGGCTCACCCTCCACCCTCCCCCAAATCTCCCACCTCCAAACGGCCTCCCACCACCTCGCAACAGCCATCCAATTCCACCGCGAAAAAGGCAGCACCCAAAACGACGACCTCCACCTCCGTCTAGGAATGGTCCTCGAAGAAGCTCTGATGTGTTCGGCCCTATTTCCCGCGCCCGTCCAAACAGGGAGAAGTAAAGCAAGTGATAACGACGAAGCGGCAGAGAGTTTTATGGCGGATGAGGTGGAGGGGTTGTTGGAGTCGTTGGGTGTTGCTGGGGGTGCCAGTGATGCGGCGAAGGTTAGGGCAATTGAGGGGGAGTATCAGAGGTTGAAGGGGTTGGGGCTTTCTGATCAGGTAGGTGGAGGTGGCTGTACAGATTTGTGTGGCAAAGAGTGATGAGTTTACAGTTGCGTTCTTATTTTAGGCGGCTGAAGTTCGAGGACTGTATGCTTGGAAAATCAAGCAGATGGCGGGTAGTGGAGGGGATGCGTTGGGTGAGGCTGCGAGTAAGGCGAGGGGAATTGAGATTGAGCATGTTATTGAGAAGTATAAGACTGCGGTGGCGATCAACCCGGATAATGCGGAAGCAAAGTGGGTATATAGGGTAGATGCATCAATCTCGATTTTGATTGATTCCGGTATCTAATTCTTCTCCATCATGTCGAAGTCTTCACTGTGGCAGAATCCTCCTCCTGGCAGGCAAAGTATCAGAAAGCTCCATGTACCTGCAACGAGCGCTAGCACTGAAACCCTTCCTTGGCCTCGCACGAGCTTTACGGGTATGTCGCACATGTCCCACCGCTCACCGCTGACTAACAATACCCTTTCCTTACCTCACCAGGGCGCATGCATACTCCAACTCTCCACACCCCTCCCCTCAATCGACCTAATCCAAATAGCCCTTCACCTCCTCAAAGATTTTGCCACCTTCCCCGAAACCCTCTGGCACCGTCCCGCAACCCCTTCTCTCAAACTACTCATCGACTCCCCCTACCGTCTAGACAACCCCCTCTGCATTCTCTCCCTGACATCCCTAGCAGCAGGATACCGCCTCCTGTCCCGGCCAGCAGATGCTGCTCAGATTCTTTCCGACATCCTCTACCAACTTCCTGAACAGATGCTCCGCACGTCCCGGCGCTCCGTAATGTATACGCAGATGTCGCAGAGTATTTGTACGGTGTTGAAAGAGCTTCTCCGCGTGTTGCCGAAAGTTCCTCCATCACCATACGCGACATTACGCACAACTACGATACAAAAGAACCTAGCGGATCTCATTCCCGTCCTCCTGGGAACCGACACCCAAACTACGGGTGATGCGACGTCCCTTAACCTTCTCGAAAGTACCGCCCAATATCTTGTCAAACTGGACCCCACAAACCCAAAGTATCTGTACATCCTGGGTGATGCCCAATTACGAAAGTACGACCTCGATCCCGCGGCGGAGGGAGCGGCTGATTTGATCCGATGGGCGGAAGAAACGTTCAAGGCTAGCATTGAAGCGGAATATGAGGGTGGGAATTTGGGTGCGGTTTTTGAGCAACGGTGGTGGAAGGAGATGGAGGTTGGAGAGAAGGCGGAGGCGGCGGTGCAGGCTAGTTTGGTTGCTGCAGCTGGAGCAAAGGGAGGGAAGGGGGGTGGTGTGGGGAAGGAGACGACGAAGGTGGCTGCTAAACCGGGGGTGAAAGCGACGGGCCCTGCTGCCAAAGCGCCTGTTGGGAGACCGGCTCCAGCTCCAGCTACTAGAACTCCGGCACCGGCGAAGGTGAAGGAGCCTGCAAAACAGTCTACGGCAAAGGCTGCGCCGGAGATGAAGGCTGCGACGGTAACCGCAGCGAAGAAAGTCACTCCTGCACCGGCGGCAGCAGCCAAATCTTCAACAAAACCAACAACAAAATCGACGGACACTAAACCAACAGCCAAGGCCGGTTCACCTACACAGCCGACACCAGACACTAAGTCCAAATCCCCCGCAAAGACAAACCCGACACCTACCGCGCAACCACAACCAACAGAAGCCCAAAAAGAACCCTCAGCGTCAGCACAAGAACGCAAAACAATCCACAAACCCCTCTACCAATCCCGCCTAGGCCTAGCTCGCATCCTCTCCCGTCGCCTCCCCCAACCTGGTTCCCCCTCACCCTCCCCCCCCCCCCCCAACCCCCACAACAAAACAACACCACAAAAAAAAAAAAAACCCCAAAAACGACAAAAAACAAAAAAAAGAACAACAAAA